CAGTGGCATGTCTGAACATGGGTATAAAACTTGTAATAGACCAGGTTTTCTTGCTTTGATGCCTATAGCTTCGGTTAAGGATAAGATGCCTAGTCGTGCACCTTTGGAGAGACTGCAAAGAACATGATATATTGTAGAAAAGGCGTGATCTACCTGGATCTGATGTCCACTAGATGTGAGAAGACTGTACTGTTGACGCCCTTTGTCATTCCTTTCCCTAACCAAGCTGGTACATGTTTACGAGCGCGCATGGGTAGAGCCCTTAGAGTACGGCCTATGTAACTAGTTCCATAGGAGCAGTTGAACTCATAAATACAGACTAAAATAGCCATTTTGATTGGCTCTCACCAATTTACGCCACCTATGGCACCGCCGTGATATCCGTTTGTCTATTAAGGGTCGCGTATACCGCTTTGTTCTACTGTAAGGCTGTGAAACATGGCCATTGAAAGTGGAAGATATGAGAAGGCTTCAAGTATTTGACCACCGTTGCCTTCGTAGTATAGGCCGTATTCCGCGGTGTCACCACGTGAGTAATGCAGAAGTCAGGAGTAGAGTTTTAGGGAGTAGAGGTAAATCAGTTGACGAGGTTATGAACCTTCATCGATTGAGATGGCTTGGACACGTACTACGTATGCCTAGTCACCGATTGCCTAGTCACACAATGTTGGCCGAAGTAGGCCCAGGCTGTAAAAAGGCCGGAGGTGGCCAGACTAAAACATGGCACCAATGCATGCGGTCTCTGACTGTTGGTTTGAGCCATGTGGGGCGATGCAGACTAGGTGGTTGGGGTTGGCGGGACAAGAGCAACCAGTGGCTAGAGAGTCTCCGGGATATGGCTCAGAACCGATGTCCGTGGCTCAGATGTATACATACATTATCCTCATCTTAACGACACTATACCGAATCTCACCATTTTGTCATTCTGCCTTTTTTCTTCTCGTACTTTGCATTTCTTTTGGCTGCATTCTCTTATCTTCATCTTTCGCCTCACTACCTTTCTACTTGATGTACTGATATGAGGTGTGGCAACTCGGACCGTTACGCAGTAATGCCTGGTCCTATGTTGATATTGATGATGATGAAAATAGCCATTTTTGGCAACTCATCGTTGGTTCCCTGTGTCAGTAATGGTTTGGTTGAGAAGTCGATAGACGTTTTCGTTGCAGTAAATGTCACTTCAACTGATCTACTTAATAGACGTGTTAAGATAGCAGAGGCAATACTACCTTAGACACTTAGTCTGCGATATATATGCTATTTAGCCTCGTTATATTCCTTTGTTTTCTCTCTAGGTTTAAACATGCATTTACTTATGAAGTTTAGTGGATAACCACTTTGATGAAATGTTATCATCACGTTACTCATTTCTTTTTCAATACGGTCATCAGAACTTATTCTGCAATTCAAGGCTTTGACCAGATTTATTTCAATATCGAATTGACCTGAAACCAGGAAGTGAATATATTGACAAGTCTGTTTGTTCATTCGAAAATTATTCCTGCTAATATATCCATTCATTTTCCTGGTGAGGAGTACATCTAGGAAAGAAATACTATCCTCCTGTTCTTGCTCACAGGTGAACTTCATAGCTAGGTGAGCATTCTTGGAGGTATTCAAAAGGTCTTTATTGCAGTCATTATTACAAATGATGAATGCATTATCTATATACTGCAAATAATAGTCTAGTTTATCAAGTGCGTCCTTAAGTGGGCCGTTTTCAAGTCTTGTCAGGAAGATATCTGCTAGCATAGTACCCAGAGGAGAGTCAATTGGAACCCCATCCACTTGTCCATAGAATTCGTTATTAGACATAAAGTGAACAATCACGGTGCATCTTAGCAGCAATTTATTAACTATTTCAGGTGGGATTCCTACGTTTATCTATCGTTCGTTCGATTCATCTTGATTGTAGTTGACTGGTTCTACAAGCAGAATATTGGTAAAAAATGATGTTATATCCCATGAAATCATCCTTTTGTCTTTAACATTCATATTTTCGACATTTCCTATTAAAATGAATACATCTTTTACACTGGATCTCACCAATTCACGATGCAGAGACTCTAGTGCTCATACTAGCCATTCCGCAGTTGAGTGATACGAAGAGTTCCCCATATCTAGAACTGGAGGTAGTGGGATTACAGGCCTGTGAACTTTTAGTAAGCCATATGGTCTAGGTATATGTGTGCCTCAGGATTTTAATGCATAAAATATGGGCCTAACGATCGGATTCCGTTCCATCATTGTCCTAAGAGTGTTAGTTAGTTGACGTTTTGTTGCTTCTGTAGTATCTTTAAAGTTTCCTAACCTCTGAAAATTTGTTTGGTCACTTATCTATATAGTCACACTTATTCACGATAACAGTGCCAGATCCCTTATCAGGTTTGGTTATTATCAATTGATCATATTTTCTGGGCTTTTGGATAACCTCTCGGTGTTTCTTAATGAGTAGGCTTTTGAAAATATGCTTGCTATTCTTAAATTGATAGCAGTAATCAATCAGATTAGCTTTAAATCTCTCTAACATTTAGAAGATGGGATTAAGTCTCGTGTCTGGATAAACAGGTTTTCAAATTTAACACCACTTTCTATATAATTTACTTGACTACGTCTATCACAAAATTTTGGACCAAGAGATAAAACTTCTAGTTGTATCTTGTTTAAACAAACGGAAGGAAAGTTGAAAACGTAATGATCGTAGTTAGTTGGAGAATTAGTTTCGATAATTTGTTTGTGTAATCCCTTGGGTAGTGAAATCATTTTATCATTTCCTCTAGTTTTCATTACTTCATTAACATACTCAATAAACCATTTCCATATATTTTGCGGAAGTTTCTCAATGGCATGAAATATTTATGCAACATTTCTTTCCAGTTCAGCAATGTATGTTTGAAGGGCTTCGATATAATAGTAGTAATAGTGAAGGCATCATTTAGTTCCACTGACTTTGTATCTTGTTCCAAGGAATCTGTTGAGGTGTGTTTCACGATTACAGTCTTGTTATATCTCGTGATGCTGTTTACTTATCAAAGTGAAACAGTCATGCCGAGTGTGCATTGTCGCATGACTTCCATGTTCCAATACACTGCTAAGTACGTGATGAAGTGCGCAAGCAGGAGTAGGCAGATGACTGTGCAAATTCCTCTTGAATTATAGACCTTGAAAAAGATGGTGACTGAAATAAACATGATAAATAACTTATGCATACACTTGTGACAGTCATTTGAGCTGATCTGAATAGAGAATCTTTTCTCTTGTGTACACTCCTCACTGAAATCAAGTTCAGTGTTTCATTTCGAAGTCACCTGACAGTAAGTACTTGTGTGTCTATTTCTATCTATTACTGAAGTACTTTGGTTTTCGCCACTTTCTAGTCTCAGAATCAATGTGGTTCTCACCATGATGGGACTTCCGATAATGTGCTATTCATTTTATGATATATATATCACTAAAGTCAGGTAGTACTCTGAAGAGAGTGTGTGTTCAGACAGTAATGTCCACGTGGCCTAAGTGGAAGATAACAATCTAACAGACGAGTCAGATCCCACTGAGTGTCTGGCAACTGTCTTTCTGATTCGTTTCTCCTCCAATAATCTCGCACAGATTGGTCGCATGTTGACAGCCATTACTACAAGTGCTTCTATCTCTCACTCCCTTACACTCGCATATTTACACCGCCTCTCCATCTTATTCTAATGGACTAGATTTTCTTCTATCTGTTCTCTATACGTGTACACTGAGTACTTCAGTAACACCTCTTCTGATGTACTTCAACTGCTACAATGCTCTTAAAACGTTCTCGTTACATACCAAACAAAATCTTAGCTGCATCTGCTGTCATCAACATACACTGATGGTTTGCCACTGCATGGATTTGGGTAAGACAGCTTATCGAACACTAACTATCAAATCACAACTCTTCAATTCATGTTCCATTCAAATCATACAAACCGAGCCATCCGCGCGGATCCATGTTCACAAATATTCATCGTCCTTTAAAAGAGAGGAGAGAGACTGACTTCTCACTCCACAATATCGTAAAGGTTTCGCCTACAGTTAATACATTCCATGCTGGTTTTTCTGTGTCGTTTGTGTACCTTAGTGAATGTGACATCTAAACTCTACACATTCATTTCACAAGCAACGATCCATTAGTGAGCATCAAATGTTAATTCAATTCACATATTTATCAGACAGCAATGGTCAACAGATGGAACGCATCTGGTTGGGTTCTGCTTTATTTTCATGCATCATTTTATTTCGCGTTATGGATGGCGATTGTTGAGAGTTGAAGTCCGTATTCAAAGGAAGTGCGTTCAAACCCATCTCCTCTCATGGTTCTAATTTTAAGCCTTTCGATCTCCCTCGTTCCGTTTTACACTGTTCACTTCTTGCTTAATTTACCATTCGTTCTTGTTTCCATACTCTTTGCAAACATTTCTTCATGTTAAGAAAATTCTTATCCAAGCTTACTAGTCCTTATAAACACCAGTCATATTCTGATTCATTTTCACAATTCATCACAGTTACTTGGTTTTAATGGCAGCTCACGTATTGAAAAGAATTAAATTGCCATGCATGACAGAAGACCTTCGCCTATCGAATTCTAACACAGGAAAAGTGTACAAACTTGCGATTGTAAAGCATCGACAATTCAATCGCCGAAAAGAAACAATTCTCCACATCTCACAATGCTCTGCTTCATTTTCATGCTTCGTTCTATTTCGGTTTATGGATAGCGACTGTGGAAATCTTTATTATCGGGAGTTACTCCTTGCTCCCATATGTGCCATTTTCTAGTCGGATTGAAGTGGCGCCCACCGACTCCTTGTCTGCCTGTGTTTTTCTAGGTTCCGTTTGTTTTTCCTTTCATTGTAGCTTATTGTCATTCGGTGGATACAACTCAGTTATGCCATTGCAGAAATAAAAGTGTGCAATGCGTATTTCTTAATATTTTTATATTTCAACAAAGAGCATTTTTAAGTTACATGAAGTGCTTATAAACGACATGGGGAATGGCAATTTTTATTCTGATGGTCTTCCAATGTGTACTTGCTGCTTCGTGATTGTGGATGAATGTCAAATGATGCCGCATGCCTGAAATTTGGATGTACATAAAGAATCAATGCTTTCCTAGGATAATTATGAAAATTCAGGACAAAATAAAGCCGTAGTGGTTGACCTACACCTGGTCACTTATTGATATTTACAACGAATTCCCACTACTTTCAGTCAGTTGGCGACCTCCCATCACTGTGTACACTCTTTTCCTGTCATACGAATGCCGAATGCATGCACTAAGAACTGACAGCACGATACACTGTTAAGATAAAATGATAATCAATGTTGTCTTGCGAGACAGTGATTTCAACCGTCATCACAGATGCGATTCAGAAAGCTACAACCTCTTATTCACTGATGATAAAGATAACACTGGGGCATCGACATCACACTGTATTGTCGTGAAATGACGCTTTCTGGTGAATAATTTCCCGATTGCCATGAGATTCGTTCAGCCAACATAGTTTTTGCGGTTACATATTTGCTGACGGTAACGCACTCACGGCCTCAGATGAATCTCTCTTGAAATTATAACGGAACTGCATTCATCATATCATTTGGAGCATTTCAATACCATAGGTGTTAAACACATTTTTCGAGATCATCTATATGTATGATTGCTTCATGTTGTTGATGTCGCTTGCACATAACTGACGATCTGTCGAATTCTCACTACCTGAAGCATCTCAACCTGAAGCTACTGGAGATGATAGGCGAGAAGCAGTGGGATGATAAAACTGTTTCAGCTATGAGTTGGTAACACCGTTATCACAACTTGTTGTACCTACGTCGTCTTTCCCAAACAACTTGGTAAGATATTTAACCCGATTGGTTCTCTGACCACTCAACTAATCAGTCGATCAGGATAGAGAATATAAACAGTGCTCCAATTCATTTGTCAACACTTAATCAATCAATGATCATGTGGTTGACAAACCTTGCCTACTATTGTCGTTGATGAATAATGGACCTGGATAGAGCAACAGATTCGGAATGAACAGAATTTACCATTCATTGACATGCTTTTATTTCACTGGGTTGCAGTTACATCCAGCTGACTAGTCCCAAATAGGACGAAACGCGCGTCCTGGATTCTTCTGCTAGCCACAACCAAGCAAATAGAATGAATTCAATTTACGATGTAACTTGACGTTGTCTGTTTTTTTTCACGAGACAATATTGAAGCGTTTATTTTTCTTTCTAGGTCATTTTATGGTAACAACCTTTTCTTCAAGTTTGCTCAGTTCTGTTTCAGTTTCTACTTGTGGTCGTATCTGTAAATCTATTAATTTTGTGATCAAACACCAGTGGAATTTTGTTCGCCTTCAGAAACCAGACTGTTGGCTTGCAATATTCTTCGTAAAACCTGATGAATCCATTCTATCTCACATACCTTCAGGAGTGAGAAAGTGGAGCATGATGGACCTCCTTTGCGAAATCGCTACTTTGCAATTTTATAATTCACTCTATGTTTGCAGACGGAAAATAATAATCTAAAGCAGGTGGAGTGTTCACAGACGTGTCTTTTTTCCAAATGGATGCACACATGAATGAGAGATGAGTAAATACTTTTTAGCCTCAGATGAATAGATACATATCTTACTTAGCAAAATATTGGTATTTTACGGAAATAGAAGTTCAGCAATCACTTACTCGCATTTAAATATGTTCAGAATAACGCACTGTGTTAGGTAATTGAGGAGAATTTCCTCTAGTACCGATTTCGGTTGTGTTTTCCTTGACTAGAAAAAGTAGAAGGTATTAAAACCAGATCGCTTGAAAGTATGAACACACACAACAAATTGTCTTAGAAAAATAAACTATTTCAGTAGATGCTTCGCACAAACTACTACCGATTTTTCATATCTAACCAATTATCACAACATGTAATCAGACTTGTCTATTTTCAGACAATCCGACCAATCTGTTTGAATGAAGTAGACAAAAGTATTCGATCCAAAGCAATGTGGTTAAACTGAAGTTGTTGTCCTGTTGAATGGTGTCAGCTATTTATCGGTAAGCATGCAAGACGCCTGAGGAAAGAGAATCGAAGTCACTCCCTTTACACCTCTTATTTACTTTCCTTAATATGGTGAAACTTAATTATGAAACGCCTTCATATCTGTACTTTACTTTTTCCATATCGACAAAATATTTTCATTTATGGGACTTACAATGAATAAACATTCTCGCATTTCCTGTCACGGTCTCTTCAGTCTACATCGTGGTATTTATGGAGTGGTTGCTAAGGCGTAATAATAGCATAGATATATGTACTTATGTTGTGAGACGCGAAGGATTCAGAATGCGCCCTATACATGGAAGTTTTCAATGTATCTATTATTGGGTTGAAAGATGTAAGGACAAAGACTTATCGACAACTACTTAGTTAACAGATGAATTCAGTGCAATACAGTGAAAATACAAGGTACAAAAATAGTGACCCAGCTAATTAATAGAATAAACCAGCACTGATATTCTACACTAATACGTCCAACATTAATTACAAAGATAACAAAACTAAGCTCAATTAATAACTCTTGTCTCTGAACTATGTAGCAAAATACCTTCAGTAGAAAATATTCGACCATAAATTGCAGTTTAAAATGACCATTGCTAGTACACAAAGTGGATCACTTACTCGGAATCTGAACTGTTATCACTTGAATGGTTTCGACGATATTTATGTGAAGGGTTGTTTGAGCCATGTCTTCCTTGGCTGTTTTGATCAAAAATTTGGTGAAAACATATTTTGATTCAATCATATTTCCACCATCAAATTTATCTCATTTCATTATCAAATGAGAATGAAAACACGGTAGAAAATGACAGATAATGTCATAACAAAATATTTAGTGAGTCTTCAGCGGAAAACAGATAAAATACAGGAATAAAACAATCAGTCTCTATGGTGTAGTTGGTGGTGCTTGTGATGTGCTTTAAGAACGCAGTAGTAAGTTTTATGAAGGGCGAAATGGTTGCAATCTTACTGGCCTTGTATTCTGAAACCATATTCTCCTACTAGATTTTCAACAGTACACTTTTACCACTATGAGTAACCAGCATGGGTCGCAAACTAAACTTTAATCTCTCATCAAATATGCTCTTGATACTTTTGTCGTCAAGCGGAGTGAGGAGAACCTACCAAACAGCACATTTCTGATGAACAGTTAGGTGCAGACGTGCGCAATCTCAGAACGATTTCCAACTGGAGCGTGAGCAGGCTCTTCAAAATAGAGTAAATCTCCTTTCGATTCTATACCAATGTAGTAAATAACAATTTGATTCGTATACACTAATATTCAGAAAAATGTTTGTGATCATTGAGCCAGGTAGGGTCTTTCCTAATGCTGAGGGCTGAAGCTGGTCGAAAAGAAGAAATTGTCAAGGCAGAATTGTGAGAGGGATCACTGACAACCAATCTGTCGTTAACAACTACCAGAAATATCTTCTAGATGGCCTTCTGACTGACTTGTCCCTCTTACTTGGACACTGAAATCAAGCACCAGTATCGCTATCCCTGAGTTTCCGGTTGCTTAGAGCAGGACTACACATTTATAGCAAGGTGTATCATCAAAATGAAATCAGGAGATACATTGAAGAGTGGCGATTCTGGTAGTCACACAGTGGTGAGCATACGTTGCTGACGAACTGCTGTTACACTTTGTAGATGCCTTTCAGCCTCGAGTGTTTTTGATTGTAGACGAATCGGAATGCCTTGGATGTGCATCCAATGACTGTCACACCGCATCAAAGATTGAATGAAGTTTGTATAAAAGACAGTATCCCTCAACAGGCCACATCCATGTGTATCTACCAGTTCACCTGCTCCTAAATGAAGTTTGCCAACTTTAGGCGGCAAATTGAGAAGTAATGCTCGATGATAACAGGCTTATTAGGAAACCTGAAGATTCCAAGCACGGTCTCCTTAAGTGTGGGACATGAACACTTCATGTTTTAGTGATCGTCTGAGAAAACCAATTCACAGAAGCTTATCATCATGAAATCGTCCACCTGAATTTGTATGTATATGTGGCCACAGTGTGTAACTGTACAAAATTAAAGCTGGAATTTCCTCACTATGCTCTTCCTCATTGACATAGTATTCTTCGAGCTATCGATCGACGAACAAATCACAACCTTTAGTGATTACTTATCACTTCGTAATGGCAAAACGCCCAAGTATGGAAACATAACTTACTTTCGATGCTTTGATGAACCTCTAGAATATCGTCCTCCATGGTCCGAATCATCCTAGGATAAAAGTACAAGGGTGAAATTAATGGAATCACATAAATTGACATGCATGCCTTTCATACTATGAACGTTGAGTTTAGACAATCCAGAGAATGAAGGAGAGTTCCAATCCAACTAGTAGTCTTCCCCTCACACGATGGTGTCGGAGTGCACAATCAAAGCCTAAATACTTAGATTCCTCATACGTAGGAAAAAGTCGCTTTACTTCATGAAGTGACTGTGATCTTTGGTTGACGTGATCAGCGGCTGCACTGTTTACATATTAGCACATATAGGAAGAGGTCTGCGCTAAGCCTAGAATACCACTGCATTCATTATCTTTTGGTAGATTTGGTGTGCCTATTTTTCACCGTTACGTCAACATAAATATATATTTACTAAAAAAGTAAGAAATGAGTTCCCACATGCGGCAAGTCAGACGAATATTGCAACTCTTGAGTTATCTGAGAGTAGATAAGACTTTAATCTGCTTTCTGTGCCTACAAATTGACGCCGAGTCCTTATGGGATATTCTATTGATTGGTTAACAGAATGATCAGTTGCTAATGATCATTCTCATACACGGATGTCGCCGTATGCCGTACTGTGAGCCTTCTCTGTGACAACAGTGTCATAGAATTACATATTACAAACGGATGCATGCAAGCCATTCATAATCTCGGTGATAATATTATGAAATGTGTTCTCCCTCTCTGAGTTGCTTTGAATTCTGTTCTTTGAATATACTCAAGTGTGAGAGACAACTGCTTCCTGAGAAATACACGATCAGCGTTCTCAGCTGTAGAAAATGTGTTCAGCCATTTTGAACTAACTCAGACTGCATTTTTAGTACAACGGATCAATTTCTTACGATCAGTTTGCTTGCGTTACTGTACTAACTAACTCGTTTTACTCATTCGACCATTTGCCAATTCCAGAAGTATGTTATAAATGTAGTCTATTCTTTGGTAGTGATTGTTTATTGTGCTTCAACCCAATAAGTTCCCTGATGTTCATTTTCTGTCGTCACCTGTAAAACGAGCGAGTGGGACGGGAAATAGCACGGCCTTGTCTTACATCTTTTCATCAGCATTTCTCGAATCATGACAAAGCGCAAACTGAACCCTACTCTCTTGTTGTGATGATGAAGTGCGTCTGCAGAAACTCTGATGCTCATCTGCATTTATTCCGAAATTCAACTGAAATCTGCTCTGGTTAAGTATGAACAGGGTTGTTGTATGCTACTTATCCTGTTCAATGGCACACAAATATACTAACTATTGTAATTGCGTTAACCTTTTGCACGCTAAGCACAAAAGCTTATATGGTATTCTGTCAAAGATTAATCAGTTTTACAAGCTAAATTACATCAGTGTGGTTATGAAAACTTGTTTTCTTACCGAATCCGAACTCATGTGTTGTCTTCTATTCATATTATGATTGTAATTAGAACCCTGGCCAAACATTGGGTTTCCTCCGAAGCCTCTCGAAGCGCCATCGTAGTAGTTTTGCTAAAATAAATGTTTAAGATGTGGCAGGTAAATAATTTTCAAACATTTACTGATATTCATTAGCTCTGAAGACATTCACTGACTTATCTCAAAAATATTCATAATTTACGGGTTCGGTATTGCCATCAACCTAATTTTAAATTATTTTTGTGGCGTAATCAGCTAACGACTTTCTTACTATTTCTTAAGGGGAACATCGTGAAGGTTAATATCTGTTATCGTGCCCCAGGCTTCTTAACTTAAAACGTAAACTATACTGTAAAATAGATTTTTAAACACATGCTGCCCACGGATTGTTGCGAAAAGTAGTCTTTGTTACCGGATGAGTTGCCTTCTCGCAGCTAATCAATCTTCAAAATGATCTCCAACAACATTCATTGTTTGGTCAAATACGAAGCACCCAGCCAAAGTTTCGGCTAAATGGTTCCTGACTTGATGTACCTAAATCCAAAACTATCTGTAAAACTAGCTACAACTGTGCTCACTTTTCAGCTGTAACATCTGCACTGGTCGTACACCTTTAGTAGTCTCGTATAACGTAAACTTTCTTTTCGTGTGTTTCACAGTAGCATCAAATGTTTCGAATGTTTAAATTAGGACACGAAACATGATCACATTAAGAAGGTAAAACAGTAAACTTGCTCCAATTCGCATACTAATCTATAATTCATGTCTGTCTGACTACCCAAATTCTGGTAGGTTGAATGAGATATTAACCCCCACTTTGAATAATTAGTTTCTAAGACGTCTTCCGGAAGAGGTGGTCTGGCAAGCTTTTTGATCGCTTCATATCAATTTTTATGCCAAAGGAAATCCAGATAAAAGCCTACAAATGTTGCTTTCATGCTTTTTAGTATGCCGTTGCACAAAGTGACTATGGTCAGGTTGTCTAGGGATATCAGAAGCTTCGAAATCTTTATTAATCTTTCCCACACCCTCCTCCGGATGGTCTATACAAAAATTAGCACCTCAAGTTTGTGCTTGATGCCTTTTACTGTTCCTCATGTACACTGAATAACAATCAAGCACCAGAAATCACTCATAGTTCGTTTTGCTCATGATTTAAAAGGCTGAAAAGAGGAAAATAATGACAATGCATATACTCTAAAAACGGATCTCAACAGCTTCTTAACTTAATAAGAGAGCACTGTGGTGCATAACATCAGAGGTAACTGTGCAATCAATTACGTGGAACATGTGAGTGGCAGGACCCACGTCATCGGTAGGACTCCCCTATTCTCAGCATTGACCTAGAACTTGAAGACCACAGCTCACTGTACCTTGGTTTCAGCTCAAAGTTTCAGTACGCTGTGACGACATTTTTCTTAACCTAAAGGAACCATAGTTCGAATCCAAACGACAGAACTGTATACAAGGATCACATTCCCTCACTTGAAAGGTAATGCAGGCTTCATTTAATTAATTTGGGCGGTAGAAACTTATACGACCCCTGCGACGACAAGATGGACATACAAGAAATTACTTAAAATATTAGGTTTCTTCTTCTCTTAGTGTCGACAGAAAAGGTATCTAGTAATGTTGTGCAATATCTTAGAAAATCGATTTACGTAAATTACTGACGTGCAGGACAATCCTTTTAGAATCAGTTCGAAGGACTGATTACTCGACGCGATAACCAGTACTTAATGACGACAGTGGTTGTTGTAAGCTTTCTTATGCTCTTACCAGCTGTTTCCACCTAGTGGGTAGGATAAAAGAAGAAAGATCACATCCAAAGCCATTTCCTAAAATTTTGCATAGCATAATCACATCTGTGCCCTGTTTTCGATACAATACAGGGAATAAATCTAGCCCGGGTATTCGTTCTTTATATGTCAAGTTAATAATCACCAGGGTCATGCTCCGAACTATTTGAGAAGCTGTGAGTCAACTCCCTGACAAAGACTTGGCGCTTTTGGACGGTTTCCTTGGTTAAATTCAACTAGGACTGCATACCCGATGGTGAAGACATCGTCAAAAACCCTGGTTAGAGACTTAAGGGCAGCTCAATTGTCTATGAGAGAGAAGTGCAACACTCCGAAACATATGTATTGCAAAGTGTTTCCTCAAACACAGCTCACGTAAACTATGAGATTATAACGAGTTGAGTGAATATCACACCTTGTAAACGGAAGCTCTCCGTAGTTACATTGAGACAATACTCAACTATACGAATAAAAGAAATTGACTTGCATTCATATTATAGCCTCGTGGACCTGTGTTAGCATTTGGATCATAATAACCATCTGCATATCCAGAGCCCTGAGGATTGCCTTTCATCTCATTGGCATCATAATAACCTTTGCGGTCTCCAAAGTGGAATGGCATTTTCAGTCCCAGCCGACAACTGTTCAGTGAATACTCCTAATGCTATTTAAAGGTATTCGACGGTCTGGTGGATTAAAACAATCAAGGACAACTATTCACGAAAAATGTGAGCACGGTAACACGAAGGAGGGAGACCCAAACCCCATCTCGCTTCGACTGCATTTTTCAAATGGAGAATTCTTGACTGACAACTTAATAATCCTTCCTCCTTTGGGCAAGAGTGACCACGTTGTTATCGCTTCCAGAAAGTCTACAAAACCAATTTGACCAGACCTTTCAATAAGCGTCGTTGGATTTTCAGACGACTTAACCCTTCGGCTCTTCAAATGGCACTGGAACAGACAGATTGGAAAGTTAACCATGTATAGCAGGATGTGAACACTTACTGAAGATACATAATTAATAAGATCATGTATGCAACCAGTCAGTCTGTTCCACTTTCAAGACCGAAGTGCTTCAAGTTGCACAAAGCAATAAGGAACTACACTCGCAAACTGCTCAGGCTGAAGAGACACCACTGGACCGAACACAAAACGTTCGGCACCGAATACACTTCTGGACAATTCAGACAGGCAATAAACACATGTGCGAAGGCACTGGGGACCGATCGGCCTTCTAACCCGACAGGCCTTTTCCACCATGCTGCTTCGTTCTGGTAGGCTGAAGTGGGACTGTCTCATCTACTAGGTAGCAAACGGCTGACTAGTAGCGACACTGGAGCAGCTGAGCTTCTGGCTGACCTATGTTACAATACTTTTCGTCATCGTCCACCTACTCAGGAGTTTATGAGTATCTCTCTAACGAGGTGGGACTCTCGGTCGTTGACTTAAACGTTGAGCTACTGCAGTCAGACTGCTACTGCTCACAGAAGTCACCTCTCTGAGACTCGATAAAACCCGTGAGGCGGTGCTGCGGAGAGGTGCATGGACCTAACCTGACCCATGGGTATGCTACTTAAGAATTTTCCAAGCCATTGGAAAGTACCCGATCCCTGAAAGTTAAGACATATTACGCTAACCTGCAAGGGGAGGTCAACGAAGCAATCCAAAGGAGTACAATCCGGTAAAGCTTTTGTGCATACCTTCCAGAGTGCCGGAACCGTTTATCTATGATGGACCAAGCGATCACCTCGCAACGATCAACTTCTTTGCGCCCCAACAACCCGGATTCGGGAGAGGGAACTCCTGCATTAGCAGTCTGCCCGCTGAGGTAGATAGATGGATTAGCGTTGTCGGCCATCGAGGACGAAGTGATGTTATTTATCTAGACTTCTCTAAGGTGTTCAATCATGTTAATCACGACTGCCCTATTGATAAATTAAAAATTAGTCGGGATAGGACCACCGCTCATTGTCCCTGTGTCTACACGGTCGTCCATTTGGAGTCCGAGTGAGTTTCTCTACGTCTGAAGAAACTGGATGTCTCAGTGGTGTTCCCCAAGGTTCAGTACTAGGGTCTCTTCTCTTTTTAACATACATGGACGGCTTGCCTCGAAAGGCTTCCTCCGAAATCCCCCTTTTTGTCGACGACGTGAAACTAAGGAGAGGAACCAAAGGTGAAGAAGGTAGCGTTTCCCCGTGGGAAAATTTGACTCAACCTCAAAACTTGACTGATAATAATGGGCTCGTATTTAATCCCTAAAAATGAAGGGTGATACACGTTAAACACTACGCATGTTATGTATGTAGCCTCAGCGGTGTAGGACTTGGAGTGTCGCTGACAGAAAGAGATTCGGGTGTCTTAGTCCCTCAATCCTACGCCAACTGTGATAGAAATGCATTTCTTAGAAACTTGGTATTAGTAACCCCTTAACGACGTTTCGGACAACTCGATCGTATATATTTCCATCAAATTTTCAACAGCTTCATACGGCCTCACCTGGAGTTTGGGACCGTCGTCGTTCCCCTCCTCTGGGGAGGAACAAATGATTCTGGGAACACATCCAAAAGGGCTCGACCAGATTTGTTCGAGGACTTAGGTCTAAAAACGCGAATAATGACTGGTTGAGCTGAATCTGCATCACCTAGAAAATAGAATGCTAAGAGGAGATTTGGTAATGACTCGCAGCATCCTGAGCACCCTTGGACGTCCACTCCATCACTTATTGAATCTCGGCTGCAGAGCTAATCCCAGAGGGCACATGCAAAAACCAGGCATGGAACATAGCAGGTTAAATATCAGGCGCAGCTTCCATTCCCCAAGAGTTGTTTCGCCCCGGAATGCTCTTCCTGTAAACGTGATCCAGGTTGCTTAGTCTGAATCGTTTAAATACCGACCGGACACTTATTTGACACGTGGCTTGAATCTCCTCGGAGCTAATTGAATTTTTACATTTTAACAGCCTCTTATTCCTCTCTCTTTACTTGTACGCGGGTTAAAAACCACAAGAAGTAGTGATCCACAGATTTTAGACGCTGAAGTCAGTTGGGCAGGACTTTTTCTATTCCGTCAACAACCACTGGAACTGTTTGAATGAAATCAGCCTTCAAATATAGACAGTGACCAAGTAGACTGACTCATCTTATACTGGACCCTGCAGCCATACTCTTGGTGAATATTTTGCTTCGATCGTAATTGCCCCAGTCAGGAAGTGATGCCAGTTGCTTGCATAAGGTGTCCCAGTAGCTGACGAAATCCAACATCGATAGTGCGCTTGGGACCACTGTGGTCAGTACCTGTTTAAACAATCATAATGGCCGACGTCTTTATCCTTCAAAGAAACATTACTGCCTTAGAGACTGCTTGGGATGTTTATGATCGACCGGTGGCCAGTCCTACAAAATCCAGTTTTTAATGGTGTCAAATAATCCAAGTATCTCGCCTACGTGCAAGTAATGATTGCAAAAGGAAAATGAGAAAACAGTTTTGCTAGCTGAGGTGCCCGCAATGGCAGTTTGTGCTGTAGTAAGCAAAAAGAAGTTTGCTACAGGGGATATCAAGTTTTTATACCAGCCATCGTGGGCTTTACAACCTTATTTCACGTGTGTAGAAAATTGGATAATCGTTTGAATGGGCTAGTACTCTGCTGAGATTCCGTATCATTAGATGTTAGTTGGTAGGCGGAAACCAGATTATTTTAGACGATGGATGAAAATGATGCGCCGCAAATTTTTGGCAGTCGATGGAATTAACGATAATATTTGTTCCCGAATTCACAGGCTAACATCTATTTTACACACATGACCGTTATATTAAGTATGAATGAATCTTTGGCTGTTGTTTCCCACCTCTTCTTCATTTCAAGCGGCCGCAACTCCTAGGCAAAAGAGGGGTGATTTCGCACTGCATACAAATAAAGCACGTTGAGTTACATGTTAAATTCCTGTCTTCATTCATTGGTACCACCAAGTTTCCCGGCAGAAATACAAGTGGTGTTTGATGAACATTTAAAGGCATCTTGCAAAGAAGAAGGAAGAGCAGTTCCATTCTGAAGTGACGCTTAAATATGCATTTGAAGATAGCCATTTTTTCAAGGAAGGCATCTGTAGTGTCAGTTCATGCGCATCTGCTACTCGAGATATGTGTACAGAAATGTTATTTAAAGATGTTAACGGTGTGGTTGTGCCACACTTGATGAACCAGATGTTGACGCAGACTCACACTTGTCGCGCTGCTTCCTGTATTGCATATTTATTCCTGCAGTCGGATACAATAAGCTTGAGAAATTTTGGTAACTTATGAGATATTTATGTTGAAAAAGACATGAAAATTTTACACTCTCTAGATCGTATTTCACGGAGATCAAGAAAACCACCATCCTCAGGGGTATACATCTGGGCCTCGACCTATTGGTACGAAACTGCAACTGAGGACAAGATATCCAAAGTAGTGTGAAGACGTGCAAATATTACTTAGATGAACCACTTCTGGATGATAATGGTATTTCAGGTTTGTGGTTTATTTTAGTTATCTTAGCTGCAGTACCTTTCCGTCATTCCGATCGGCAAGTACAAACCTGCACTACACAGCCCTGCCGCATGCAGCCAGATAAATCACAAATTTTCCATCTAACGACCTGAAGCTCTACGTCAGTCAACGAAAGTCCTTTTTGATCTTGTCTCTAACCAAACGGGCTTCCTAAATTGTCGTGTCTCGCTAGCAACTTCAAGTAGGTGGAGGTACTGGCTACGTTGGTGGTAGTGTTAGACGGGCAACGTGCGACATAATAACAGCACAACTGGCAACTTGTGGTTCTCCACTATGTCAAATCACTTATGCAGCCACCTGCTTGGACATACAAGAAGACCAGTCAGTAAGCGGCACTGATGGGAAAATCATGTAAATTTTATCGACAGGTGCTTGTTGGTAAGAATGCATATGGTGATGGTGCATTCAAGCATGAGTAGCAAGAAGTTGATGCTATTATGGATGGTCTGTAGTCTCCAGTGTCACCGATTCATCAATCAGTAACGGACATATGTAGTCAAGCGGCTACCTGGAAAGTATGAACTACGCTTCTTCAACTTTGAATGTGTGCAGTGGTGAAACAATGTGACTCTCCATGTCAGTTTGTCTACTTAGCCCTCTTACTTGACTTTAGTCAGCTTTTGAGGCAAATAATTTATGCGCGTGTGTAAGGTACGGGAACAATGTTTCTTGCGGGATTACCTATCAAGTCCACGACAAGAAACTGCATTCACAGGTCAAAAGGGCTGGTCCAAGTCTGAAGAGCTGCAATATGGCCTGTGCCGGTATCAAGCACAGTATGGCGCCAGTATTAAAGAGTGCAGCCAGCCGGTTTATTTCGAAACAGTATAGCATGTGAACACGTAAATCGACACGCATCGTTGAACAACACCGATAAAACTCTTCCTTTTCGTCCTTCCCATATAATGGATGGTCAGTCCGTGCCGAAGTTTTTGTATCCACTTCGGTGGAAGTCAGCGTCATCTCATCAAAAACCAGGGGGCGAGTTTGTCCTGTGTCGCCTTAGCCTCGCATCAACAACAGTTGACCAATCATGAAGCATGATCAAAAATTCATCCACCTTATTCTTGGACG